AAAAATTTTCACTTTTCACATTTCCGCTCTAAGGAAAAAGTGTTACATAATCGCTACGCAGAAGACGTTTCGTTTTCTCTCTCTCTCTCTCTCTCTCTCTCTCTCTCTCATTCACTCATGGAATACAATATACGAATAAGCAAGTAATTTTTTTTTTTAACATTCCGCCACTCCGCTCTTCGTGCAACATACTCTCGTTTCCTTTTCGGATACGGCGCCGACGTTACGAAAATGGTTCGTACAGATTTGCTCGCGGGCGAAGCATCCGGCTTAGCTAAGCAAGACCGGTGAATCGGAGCGTTAGATCGACGAAGGGGAGGGCGGGGATGGGCCGAAATCGCGACGACGTTGAGAGATCCGTCAGGGTCCGGTCAGTCGCGTCTCGCCGCATGTCCAGGATTCCCCCGCGAATCGTTTTTAAATCACCGGATACGTGATAACGGGGTAAGATGTTGATTTTACTCGGTGTACGTACTTTTGCGCGAGAGGCGAACCTTAGGCGGACGCAGGCAGTCGGCTCCGATGAACATTGGTTCAACGATCGTTCCGCGAGCGAACCTCTGGATACCTACGTGTGTGCCACCTACATAATTCATATCGGTATGAGAGCAACCGTTTTGACGAGGAGGAAAGGAGAAGGGAAAAAAAAGGAAATTGCGGACGGTGTTTTGCGGAGAATTCGCGACCGAGACGTAGGGGCGGGTAGGAGGGGGGGGGGGATGCAGATTCGTCGTGCGAATTCCTATCGGTCGGCCGAACGAGACGACCGAGATGTAAGGGAATAGCCGCGAGTCTCCTTCCGTCTCGCGGTTGGTCGCGCCGGCCGCCGCCGTCGCACGGATTACCGACACGCGTAATCCAATATTTCCGTGTTATTCATGTCGCCGTTGGCTGCGAAGAGTCCGCACGCGTCGCCTTAAGCCTTAAAATTATAGACGAGCAAATATCTCGCGATGATTTCAATCCTCATGATATTCGATAAGTTATTAATTCAGGCGGCGTACCTTATAGCGGTCGTACGATTCAAAAATGGCATTGGCGACGAGTCGCTTACACGCATTTCTCACGTGGACAAACTAAGATTCTATTCTAGTTTGAGAGTCAAAAATATAATTACTTATTTTTATAAATTGTCAAATTAAATTGTATTTAAAGGAATATAAGAATTAAATGTCAACGATTTTTAGAACAAAAATAATCTTTATGACAATTTTCTATTAAATTCGGCTTTACAAATGGATCGAAAAATCCACAAATAAAAGTGTGACAAATCTGTCTAATCTATAAATATTCCAAGTCAAATATACGTCGACGTAAAATAATGATGAATGCTATAGGATTGACAAGTCTATCGACGTCGAGTGAATTCTAAAATAATTTCTTAAATCGCGATCCGACATTTTTTCCTGGTGCTTACAATTCAACCGCACGCACTCACGATGACGAGGAGAAATGCGGCTCGTCGCCAGTGCTATTTTTGAATTGTATGACCACTAGGTACGTCGCTTGAATTAATAATCTACGAAATATTATGAGGATTGAAATCGTCACGAGATATTTGCTCGCCTGTAAATTTAAGGCACCGTAGCGTTCGCGTTGTATTTTACGTTATTTTAAAACAAAATGCCTTACATCGAAAACTGCGAAGCCGGGACCGACATATGCGGACTCTGTTTTAGCTTTATTATTCGTATATCCAAAATTTGAATTTGAAAAAAAACTTCTAATATAATCTTAGATATTATTTAAAAAATCTGTGGTTCGCGGGGGCTCTGTTTAACATAACGTGACGTAGAGATATAAACATTCGTGATTTGATTATCGTATTGCGTGTGTAACGCTATCAGTACGGCCGCTTTAGGGGGCTGTAAGGCTATCCTTCAACTCACTATGTGGGATCGTTGTGATCTGTTACGTTACGTGTACGAGAGTACAGCCCGTCGAGCTAGGGTCGCGAAGTGGCGTGCGTCGTGTACTATCTCTGATGCACGCTTTCATTCATTCAGCTTTATCGTAGCCCCGCTATCAATGTCCGCGACCGGTTGCTATAAGTGACCTTGGGTAGCCACCGCTGTCGTCATGTCGTTATCCCTTTGAATGGAGAAAAAGACGTGATTAGAATTCATTAATCCTCTAACAGCGAGAAATTGCGTCTGGCAGCTGTCATAAAGGACGCCCAGGGGTTCGTTCATAGTTAAATTTTTTTCTATAAAAATAAACTCTAATTAGACTTTTTATTAGAATTTTATTGTAACTACGTAAGTTGCCTCTTTTTAATATTATATATAAATAGAAAATGTAAAAATAAAAATAATGACATTATATTTATTATACCGAATGGGAAAATAAGAAACGGAATGAAGAAATATTTTGAGGTTTAAGTAAACGGTATTTGTCTTTTTTTTTTACGATTTAACACGAAGAACACTGGAAACCTAGGTCTGAAAAAACCAATCGCTTCGTCAAGCAAAGGGTAACAAGGGGGATAATCGTCGTCCTGCGACGGTGATGGCCGACCTCATTTGGCGCACGTTCTCTCGCTTTCGTTTTCACCCTCCGTTTTTGCGTTAACGATGCGACACGCGCTCGTTGAATCCTAATCCTTGAGTACGAACAATCGGTAGCGCGCGCGTAATGAAGCTTTTCTTCTCGTTTCTTTTCGTCGACAATATCCGCTTGCCCGAAAGACGGACGAAGCTCTCGCAATTTCGCCGCCGTCGCGGCGCCGTCGATTCGATCACGAGCACGTGCTCGTCGAGGGGGGGAATAGGTGCTTGCCAATTATCGCACCTGCCATCGGCCTCGTACATATTCATTGTGGACACATCCGATTATCGATCGATCCGACGTCGGTCCCCATAGTCGGCCAATGCGTCACCCAAGCGCACCATATCCGGATGTCCCCAATGACCCCTTGGCGTCGATGGTGTCTGTAACGTTAGCGTAATAAATTTTTCAAGCGAGCGAGTCTTACGGGGACGTGATCTATCCCTCGATTTATTATACCTGCTTATCGGTCTTCGATTGAAAGGATCTGATGGTCTCTTCAATGCGGATTTTTCTTTGCGATGGAACATGATATTGTTCGAGGAGTGTGAATACTATCAGTGTATACGTCGAAAAAAAAAGAATCGATGGAAAATTAATATCCTTCCTCTCTCTCTCTGCCGCCCCCTCCCCCTCCCCCCGCCCAGATGGCGAGCGAACGCTCCTTGCAATGTAATAAAGTCACTAGAGCGCGAATCCAAGAGAATGAAAGAGAAGACGAGAGGTGAGCGGCAAACGTGGCAAGGGGAGAAACGAAACAAGAGAGAGAGAAAGAGACAAAGAGCGGCGGAGGACGAAGGAGCGATGGATGAGAGGGAGGACTACGCAGGCGTCGATAGGCGGCATAGCGCGTAGGTCAACGTACCTTCTGCCAGGGCCGCACGATATACAATTGCCGCATTGGTATCCCTTCCGTGAATCTATCGCGAAATTTCGACATCGCGATAGACTCGATAGATATTGCGGGCGACATCGCGAGATCTCCACCCTTCCGGAACACCGCCGTTCCGGAGAACGACCGATGGCGAACGCTCGCGGAACTGACGTTCGAACACGTGCGAAAGGGCCTCGCGTGCAAAACTGAAAATGCGAATGCTCGCGGAAAGAAAGACTGTCTGATCTTTATTCTGAAGAAGAAAAATAGGGTTGGTAGTCAGTACATATCCGTAATTGGTGCACTATGAATTTATTTTCTAAGCTTGAGGGAAAGGATTGGAGGATTTCTTTTTTATTTGAAAAACAAAACGAAAATGTGTTCGAGGGTCGAGAAATAAGTATGACGCATTAAACCGGATCCAGACTAAACAAACAAACGCGAGTGAATAGTTTACTTCAATGAATGTGAAAGGTGCCAAGAATACCAGCGGCACAAGTTCGAACTCATTGATGCAACGTTCATTCGCGTTCGTTCGTTCGTTCGTTTGTTTAATCGGAATCTGACAGCGTTTTCAATATTTCCCTGGGCATCTGTTATAGAAATATTCGGAATGGATTCCGATTGAAATTATCCAATATTATTCTCTCAATTTTTGCTGTGTTTTTCTAGGGAAAGCTGAAGAAATTTCGGTCGGAATTTATTCCGAACATTTCCATAATAGGTACTCTTGGATTTTCCATTTCAAACGGAATTATAACAATAAAAAAATTAATGAAAAATAAAAATAATAAAAGATGGTATGTGATTTATTAACGATAATTTTTTAAATATAAAATACGTCTTTGTGCAGCAGCAGCAATATAAAAAAATATCGTGTAGTCCGGATGTTACGGAGCATTCAAGAATATCTGCGAATGTCCGCCTGTAGAAACAGGAAGTGGTTATTCTCACTTGCAGAAACAAATGCAAACTTTTACTCCCTAAAAGTGCCGTATCTCGATATCGCGAGGCGTTTGAATATTCAAGAGACATTCCTAGACGTAATCATTGATCCGGCAAAAGACAATCGCGTTACGTTCAATCTGTAGGAAAGCTGACAAGTGCGACATGACTCTGCAATCGTCCTTGCAGTGATTCCTATGGATTACGCGGTTTAGCATATATATTTGCATTTTGTAGGAAACAATATTTGTGATAATTACGCAACGCTACGAGGGTCTTGAGCGCGATCGCGTGATGATCTTCGAGCGTAATTTATTTACGAGCCATTGACTCCGCCGACTATAAACCGTACTTTTATTACCATGACTCACGTCAATAAGTTTAATTGACTACGGAACAGCGCATTGAAAAATACTTCTGCTAGATTTTTTCTCCCTGCCCGTGTCGAGTCTTCCACTGCGGAATATTTCCGTCGCGAAATATTCGTAGCGGAAAATTTAACAATGGAGATCACACAACGACTTCGAAATAACGCTTGATGACGCGATAGTAATTAAGACGTAATCAGACGTAATCGATGCCAAGGTACAACCGCAAGGAAATTTGTAATGAATGTTATTTTATTTTTTTACAGACGATCTCAAGCACGTGCATCAGGCTTTGCTGCAGAGTGCTAAGCGCGCGGGTTCCCTGGACAATATCACCGTAATCGTGGTGTTCCTGACGCCGCCGATCGAGATCGCCTCGCGCTCGAGTCCGCCTCTAACGCATCAAGCACCGAATGGTCTATTACTGAACAACATGGATCCGAATAATCCGATCCCGTCGAATCACGATCAATTTGATGTAAACAAACCGGCCTACATTAAACAGCTGATCGACGACGACGTGGATCGTCCCAATTTCGATATGGATCTGCTGCTAAAAAATTCCGTGTGCGGAATGACCAGGAACGGCAAGCACGATGACGACGAGCACGAGTTCGCGTTCACGGACGTAGGTCCGGAGACCGACGTCGACGCCGGCGAGGACGTGCACGGCAAGAATTACTCGGCCCTCGCCGCATCGTCATCGATCGAGCCGATCCCCGAGAGCGAGAAGTCGCCAATGGAAATCGAGAAGCACAGCAACGACGACGACGACGACGACAGGAACGACAACGATTATTCTAACCGCGACAACGCGAACGTCTGCCCGGCGGATTCGGTAGTAAACGATGGCGACGTGGACAATCGTGTCCGACCGAGTGACATAGACGTTCGCGGCGCGGACGTCGAAACGCTGCGCGACACCGGTGACGACGACGACGACGACGATGACGACGGCATGCGCCGCGCATCGCCACACGAGATCGCCAGATTCGCCGACACGCATACCGTCGTGGACGACGACGAGTCGCCACCCTCGCCGCGAGCTGCTAGTAAGTGCAACTTGTCCGTTGTAAGGGCCCGGCTGTGCGCCGCGCTGGTATACGGTTACGCTTATCACGCGGTGAGCAATCTGTTCGTGTCGTTGGCGAACTACATCTCGAACTCGTACGTCGCTCACGTGTTCGGTCTACGTAGAAAGTGAGCCGTGCCGTCGCGTTTTGGTCCCCCAACCGGAGACGGCCCGAAGATCCGATCTTCGGCCGCCGAGGATCACATAGGGCCGAAACGGACGAGGTCGAGAAATGTACATGTCAGCGACATTGATCGCCGCATGACGCGACGTATAGAAATGGAATCTCATCGCCGTACGTTCTGCGATAAGATTGCGCTAAGTTATGCATATCGCAGCACGAAGTATTTTACGTCTCAAGTATTTGAGGAAACAATGCAAAAATGCCCGTCGCGTTGAGATCGTTACGTTTCTAAAAATTTTGTCCAGCAAAGTCGTATCGCTTGTTTAAATAACAGTATCGCTTTTTTTTTAGAATACGAGAAAGCGAGTCTATTGTAGGGTATATGCAGCTTTTTTTTTTTTTTGATAGATGCATATTACATATAGTCTTTCTTGTCACGTTTTCCGTATACATACGCGAGTGCATCGCATAAGAGCGAAAATTGAAATGCATTCAAATGCACTCGATGCGATTTACATGACTAAAGGTAGAGTGCATTCTGTAATGACCCGCTTTTCGTACTTTTACGATCCGCAAATAGCTCCTTCTCATTTTACTCTCCTTGGTAACAAAAATAAAATGGCGAACACTTTTCTTGTAGCATTGATCAGCCGTTACATTCGTGATCGTGCTTGGATAAAGAGCCGAGATCAGTCGAAACCATGCTGTCCATACTCCCAGTAAAATGTCACACGGGTAGAGATTATCGTGTTTCTTCCGTTTTTTTTTACATTACGCAGATACGTTATCTTCACTAATGGCCTATATGTCACCGTGTCGAGCATAATCGACTGCAGCTTTAAGAATATTGATGGCGCTAGGAATCATAATATTTCTTACAAATCTTCATCGAGGTCAGTTCCGGCTTTGCCAAATCTGTGAGAAATGTGAGCTTGATTATTGCGACTAATGTGCGGCCTAATGAACAACGAAATTCGAGAGATAGCAAGTTAACGGAAGTAGCGGATATGTCAGCGTAAATACCGTACGAGAAAACTTGTTTCCTCTAATTGACTTCGAAACTGATTCTATTTAACCCGCATCGGCAGCACCGCGCAAAACGGAAATTGATGCCCAATAAGGGTAATAAAGAGCAACGTATTTGCGCCATAAATGTGCTTTCTCGATAAGCGGAAATATTGAATGTCAAGTAAACGAGTCTCGTTAACGTGGATATCGTAAATTTTCATTATTAGATAAACAATTTTTTAAATGCTCGTTACGACTGGGAACGAAAAAAAAGTTTCTGAATCATGATTATTTATAATAATAAAGAAGAGATAATGTTTCAGAGCAATAATTAGTAATCAGTGTGACATAAATATCACTTTAATTATAAAGTTAAAAGGCAAAGATTATTCATCCGTTAATTAAATTGATGAAAAATAATAAAGTGGCTTTATATAAAAGTATAATGGTATATAGAAGTATGAAAAATAACAAAATGGCTTAATATTTAAAAAAAATGCTATCTCAAATTTTAAATGAAATAAAAAAGATTATTAATTCATTTTACAAACAAAAATCTTTAATTACTCCAATATTAAAAAAACGTTATGTGATATTTTGTCTGACTGTTGATTATTGCTCTGCACATTATCTTTAGCACAAATTTGCAAATAAAGACATAACGATTATTTCTCAAAAAGAGAAATTGCTTCGCTTGCATGAATTAAAGCAAAAACATTTTTATGTCCGATTTTAATATTTTATTCTAATTTTTTTTTGTTTCTTTTTAGTTTTGCTTTTCTATTAAATACTCATCATTATCACGTTTGAAAACGGATTTTCTACGGACTATACGCGAGAATCATTGTTCTGTTAACGACGGCGGTATTTTTAATCATTGAGAAATAACGCTTACGCACACGCGCGATAAGGGTAAATTGACAATTAATTTGATATGTATATTTCGGGCAATCGTAAGATACAGACGTACAGCAATTCGCCATTATCGCTATCGCCGAGCAATTTCAGATAATTAACAAGTACCATCATACGTCCCCGGCATATCGCGTAGTACCGTTATTGACGTTCGAATCGGGCGCGCGACGGTCGTCCTGCCGCGCTCGCGTCCCTGATTCGCCGCAGAGCGGCCAATTGGGCGACGTGCCGCCAATTGTCGCCGGTCGCGGAAGGGGCTTGCGGCAGTTCCTCTCGAGCCTCGTATATGGTTACGGGTCTGCGTCTTCGGGTCTCTCCCTCGAGTGCGTTTTCGCGGGTATATCGTGGTGCTCGCGTGGTGCCGGTGATCACCGGCTCTTCCACTGGTTGTATTCGCGCCGGGCGCGTCGTTATCGCCGGCGGCCTTCTCCGAGGACCGGACCGGACACTGGCACGAGGCGCGGACGAGAGGTACGTTCTCCGTAAGACAGAGAGAGAGAAAGAGAGAGAGAGTGTGTGTAATGCGTTGCACGCGGCGCGTCCGTGCGTTCCCTCCACCGTCGATTATTGCCGGGAGAATCCGGGGAACCCTGAATTGCGTATTTAAATTTGGAGGTGACGCCGCTGCGACGAGGGACGCCGCGCGCGGTGCGGCGTCGTCCCTCCGCCACATTTTCGGAATAGGCCACGTCGAACGACCACGGGAGAGAGGACCGCGCCGTTGTTGCCGGCCGGCGAACGACGGTCGAGGGACCGGCGTTACAATCTCGAGACGACGGCGGCGGGTGCCCCCCCGAATCCCTCGGCCGTGATACACGCGAAAAAAAAAGGCATTCTACGCCGCGACGGTCGGGCGCTGCCGTTATCACGAATAGGCGTAGAGCTCCGTTTCCGTGTCCTACGGGCGAGAATCGAACCCAATGACGTTAATTCCGGTTTCGAGGTCTGGACCACGCCAATGTTGCCCACTCTCTTTGTTTCTTTTTTTTCGTTTTCTCTTTCTCTCCCTGAATCTTCTAGATGTAGGATGAACGTTACGATTTGATATCTTTTTTCTTTTCTCTCTCTATCTCGTGGTGATCGCAGGAACTAATTGCGTCGATTTTTTAATCAAGGCCTGCTCTGTCTAGAAATTTCTTGAACATTTGAGACGAGAGTTTCTTCGGTTCTCGCCGCTCGTGCGAACGAAAAGAAGGAAGCGGGCTTGGTGGAGGAGAAAAGGACTTGTGTGTGCCTCGCGTCATGCGAAGCGTGTACGAAAATACCGTGTGTGTGCGTTGTGAAATCCGCTGTATTGTGTATTATAACCTGTCGTCATCGCGTTGCGGTCGCGTCGAGAGCAAATAGTCGCATTACGCGATTTTGTCAACTATGACTCGCACCTCTTCGTCTCGCGATCGAATCAGATGTAATTCCGACAGGAATTTAAAACTTAACGTTACAAACGTAGGTTTGAGTTTCGCGTCTCGCATTTTTCTCAGGATCATCTGATAGAAAGAAAAGTTAAATTTCGTAGAAATTTTTTTATTTTAATTTCTATTATCGAAATTATACTAATTTTAAAGATCAATTTAAGCCATCTAGTCATAGAAGTACAAATTCCTCCATTGATTTCGTGAAGAAGAATTGCGCTTCTTAAATCGCTTCTCGAAAGTAAATACGTTGTCTTGTTCAGCGAGTTTTATATATCTTATCGTGTTGTGTGCGATAGTTTTTATTATCATAATTATATTAGCATATAATGATACCATTTAAATACGTTGAGTGAAGAATGTCGCACCTTATATTGTTATCTAGCTATTTGTCATTCAAAATGTTATGTTAGATAATTATTGTTTATTTTTATATTAGATATTTATTTTTACAAGCAGTTTAAAAAATTCGATAACGCTGATTTCCAATAGTCAAGACGTCATTAAAAAAAAATCAGGGCATATGTTTCGGAATTGTTCAATTCTTTCCTAGTTTTCTTGGGAAATGGAATAATTCCGATCGGAATTTCATTTCGAACTGTTCCGTGATACGTGCTCAAGCACAGGTTACAGATGGCAAGCGTCGACGTGTTAATCCGTTGACTGCGGACCACTCAGAAGCTCGTTGTGTACCCCCAAGTTACAGCTGTCTTTGTGTATGGAGCACTTTTGCGCGATATACAAGTTGTTGATATATTATATAAACTCCGCCAAATCCTGCATCAACAATGTTAAGATCTTTGACAAAAAAAAAGTCGAATGCTTAAATAGTACAATACATAATGATTATTTTCGTGTGTATAGTTTACAAGAGACTGATAACAAAGGCTTAAAAAGAGCTACTTTTAAGTAATCTCTTGAAAATTCAAAATATTTTGACACTTCATTTTTTAGTTTTATAAAGATATAAAAAATGAAATGGAGTAAGAAATAATTCTCAAATTACAGATTGTTAACCTGGCGTTGCAGAAATGAAAATATTGTATGTACAGTTATTAAGGTGGAGTTTATTAAGTTGCAGTAATTTAAGAATTCGTGTTAACAAAAAATTTTTAGAATGTTTTAAATAATTTAAATTAAGTTTGATCTCCTTAGATCTGAAAATTATGCCAATGAAATTATCAAAATTATTTTAAAATCTTTTTATAAAAAGGCTGTGAAAATAAGTATGTGTATGTAATATCTGAAATTTGTTATATCTCGCTTTAGTAACGTCGAGCTCTGTGGATCATTTTTTTACACTACAAAAAGACAAGGAGTATATTTGATGCTCTGAAATTGCTATTTTCGTTTTGTCAAGCGCGATACAACGAGTATGAGATAGGGGAGAGGCCCTCGAAACTCGTCGGCAGGCAGATTACAATTCCGCCTTGTGTGATTCGGCGCTTCTTTTCATCTCGGCGTGTGACACGGATGCAAGCGCAGAACCGAGGGCCGATAACGACAGGGACGAGAAGTAAT